GCCGTTTCAAATTCCTTTCTTTGTGTCTCATTCGCTTTTCATGCATTTGCTGACAAGATAACTGATATTTCTAGGAACTCGTCCATTACTTTTCTTCCGAAAAGACCCAGCTGACGAGATGACGACGAGCTATGCAGCCCGACTTTCGTCGTAGACTTTCCGTTTTTGGTTAAGCCGAGGAGAATGCAAGGCCTCAGAAAACTGACGAAGGAGAAAACTACTCCTGCAGTCCCAACAGCGTCGGCGCGGGAAGTGCGTAGCAGTATGCATGAATGTGCAGATTTACTGCGCTTGAAGGATAGCGCTGTAACATCAGCCAGCGCAGCTACTAGTGCATTTCCCCGTGTTTTGGCGAAGAAGATATTCTGCTACTCCTAATGTAGTGAATGCGCACCCACTTGCTTTTTTATGTTATGCTAACTCCCGCAGTTAGCCCTGGGTTTTGTTTTCCACCGGATGCATGTATACGTGTATGAATGCACGCAGAAACGGCAACAGGAGTACAGCATTGACTACGAGGCCTACCGCCACTTCGCCTTCTTTGCGGGCCTTTTGCTGCAGGCGAATGCCCCCACGCCGACGAGTGCGGTAGACCTGGTTAAGTGGTGCGTTACTGCTCCTGAACTGCATACTTGCATGAACTGCAGCTGCGTACTCATAAGTCTAATACTAACTTGCTGGGCCTATGCGCAGCTGAAATGAGACCTATTCTTGAGCAGATCCCAATCCCTTTTCTGTTTGAGGATCTGAGGATCTAGCGTTTTCGTTTGCTGTTTATGTTGTGCACATGCGAACAGGTACCTCACCGAGAAGGCCTACTGTGTGCCGAGGGTGCGTCTCACTGACCAAACGCGCATTTGCATGTAGCACAGCGCAAACTTTTCAGAACCCTCGCCAGTTCAATTCGTTTGCTAGCATCTTTGCTTCTAGACAGTGATATGTGCAGCTTGTAATGTTTTTAGTATTCTTTGTTGAAATTGCTGGAAATTCTTCTGGGTGCCTTTGTTCAGGACTTGTCACGGCCTCTTGTCCCCAACGTGTACACTACATTGGTCCACAATCTTATCTTGGATTCCTGTGTGGACGTACGTCTCCGCGTATCGCATGAGGCGGAGTACATCTCTGCCTGCCTTCTGCAGTCTAGACAGTGAATGAATATGCACTTTTATATTGGTTGCGCACGAGAAGAGGCACAACGGGCTCTTAGAAATGAACCTTGCTCTTCCTGCCGTCATTTTTCTTGTTTCATTCTGCCGCATCTCAGCGCTTGTGTTCTATTTCAAACTGATGTTCACCTTTTTGAATGCAGACTCAACAGTACCGTCTTAACGTATGCATTGTAAACCCCTCTTTGTGGTTGCCTTGCAGGTTGTGGAGGGCTCAGAAGATGGTCATCTTCAGCTCCTCCCCAATAAATATTTTCTACTTTGGGCGTGGAAAGACTTCGCGTTAGACTTCGACGTCCGCATGCGCGCGACCCCGTTCTGACGCTGCAGCAGGGCGCATGCATTACATGTAATGGTGCACGCAGCCCGCGTGCACCATTACAGCATGCATGCAGCCTTGGGGCTGCAGGCATGCATCGCATCACTGTGTATGCTGAAAACGCAAAGTTGTTCTGTGACCCATGCAGACTTGCGTTCTTAGGGAATGATGCACTACATCTCATGCTACAAGAGCAGTTTAGTGGCATTTGTGAGGACCAGTTCGTCTTAATTTCTGGATTTCTTAATTAGCTCCAGCCTCAGAAAGATGCAGAACGGCACCCCTGAGAGCCGTTAGCCGGTCGTTTTGCAGAAAATGGAACCAGTTGCCGAAGAAGCATCAGCACAGCTGCCTATTTCTCTACTCTGACGACCCCGACGCTGCAAGAATACACCCGCAGAGAACTATGTATTTGTCGGGATTGTCCAGTTTTGCTTGCCCCCTCAGTGCATCCGACGGTATTTGAATAACTTAACTTTAGACTTGACTTGAATTCGTGAGCTTAGCTGCAGCCGCCAGCGTCCCCCCATGCAACTTCAGACGCTGGGGAATATTAACAGGTATTTATTAACTCATGCGCCAGCAGTTTATTGGGAACAGCTGTATGAGACTGCGCTCGCAGCGAGCTTAAAGTAGCGTGACCCTAAACCCTCAGCCGTAAACGCTAAACCCTAAGGCTGCGCCTTGGGCGTTCCAGCTGTGTAGGCGGTATTCACTTTAGTAAATGGTGTTATCTTCGTTCAATAGTTTCACGACTAATGAACCTCGAAGCCAAGGCGCTACTGGTAACAACGTGACTTCCAGCATGCGAGCCGCTAGCAGGCATGGCCTACCATATCCACATACACTACGCAAAAAGATGAATTGAAGCTGTTGCTGAAATAAATGATTCCCAATGCTGCCCTTATCCTTTGAATTAAACGGTTTCAAATGCTTTCCACTGTCGCACAAGCAATATTCAAGTCAAGCGGAAATCTTATACACCAGAGCCAGCTGGAAAATTACCATAAGTGGCATTGTCACGCCGTGATGAAACGACCCTTCGAGCACGGCGAGTTAGGCAAGTCAACGGAGGATACCTGCACAGGCTCTCTATGCAACCTAAACAGATGGTCAACGTAAAGAAAACTGCTGTACTGCTTCTGCGAAGTGCTTTGCTAATTCTATATAATTTGTTCAAGCGAATATCTCACTAGCATCAGCAGTCCGTTGATGCTGTATGCACGGACTATCCGCTGGCAGAAAGCAAGTCTTTCTGTTCCCTCATACGTTGCAACGCACCAAATGCTTGCCTTAAACCGTACATCCGAACCACCCTAAATTTGAAAGCTTCGTTCGTATTAAACCCACAAAGTTGCTGCAAGTAAACAGCTAGTCTATAAGGCATTCCCGAGCTGAGTTACTTCCCTGGCTTCAATGTATTTTACATATGCAAGATGTTTGTTTTTAGGGTTACTTTGAGTTGCTGTTCAGCACTGCAAAAACCCCAAACGAGGTTTAAACGAC